TGACTCTTAACTTTTATAAAGAATATCTCTTTGGATTTGAGACTTTAGTCTTTGCAACTTTACAGATCTTCTTTATGCACCAAGAGCTTGTAACACTCCAAAGAGAAAGGAAAAATTGAAATCGCATCATATGACCCCTTTAAGTCATTTTTTTTTCAATGACCGTTGACATGTTCAATGTATGAAATCATTGATTTTTTTTCCAATTTATAAGTTGATATTGAATATTTATTAGCCAAAAATTAATATTTAATTATTTTGGCACATTTTAAGATTTAGATCATCATCTAGCAGTAACTAAAAGGGATAGTGATAAATTATGGCAAAGATTTAAGAGCTATTGAAATACACTTTCTCTATAAGAGCGCATGTTAAAGTGCTAATAGTTAAAACTCGCCAGACATAATCGGACACAACATCAAAACAATTAATAGTTTATAAGTATGAGCCAGAATTTCAATATCAGTGCATCCCTAGAAGTTTTAACCAGTAAGATTCTAAAACTAGAAAACCTTCATTAATCTACCACCCGTCATCTATTTTAATCATTCACTTTGAACAGTATCTTCAGCTTAAGCATCACAGCCCAAAACCATGAGAGTATAAACGCCTCGACGTAGTGTACGCTACTACAACTAGAAGCATCTGCTTCAGTCTACAGTTTGTGCAATTATTGAAAATCCCTTCATCCCTCTCAGGAGCATTAAACAATATTAAGACTTGTTAAAGAAGAGGGAAAATGAGGTCATGAAGGGATGCTTAATGGAAGAAATGGCAGAAGTGCTGCAGCAGTACTAGAGAAAGATTACACAGCATCTAGTGATGAAGCTGAAAATAAATACGATGGAGCACAAAAGAGTAACTCTTTCCTTTCTGCAGGACAGGCCGTGTTGTGCTGATTTGGTGATCAAAACATGGTGAGCCCCCCAGGACAGAGCACACACTGCAGCTCTGAGTCACGGGTTTGGAGCAGCATGACTGTGAGACCATGTGACAGGCCCTGTAAAACATGCCCTCTGGCCTCTAAGCTGCTTCTGTCTTTTTTTGGTGAATCTTTAAAAGCAGACAGCTGTACATGGCTTTCTAGGAGAAGGCTGAAATGTTAGACAACACGACGGGAAGTTTTACATGAGAAAGCAAAACATAAGCTGGATTTTTAAAGTGGAGAGGCACAGCCTCTTAAGCACATCAACACGCCGTCTATTCGTCTATTCACCAGTTCACAGATATTTTGATGTGATCTTTGCAAAGCAAAGCAAAGCGCCTTGTTTATGAATCTGAATAGAAAGAGAGAGAAAAAAGATAGACGGATCACCCCAAATCATCCTCATGATTCTCCAGCATCACTTACCAAAACAACACACAGAATTCCTCTTCCTCTCTGTAAACCCGGCATACAGCCCCAGGGAAGCCAAGCCTGAATTTATGGGTACAAATCTTAGTGGACAGGAGGGAATAGAAGCAGTGAGGAAACAGGGATGTTATGTTCTTGGTTTTCAAATTCAACCTGAGAAATCAAAAACTTTAACTCACTCCGACAAGGAGACTACTTACTCGACCACTCCTTCTACCTTCTCCTATTATTATAATTTCTTACAGCATCTCTTATGGTGACACCTGTCAAAATACTGCACTCCTCCACATCACCGCCTGTCCATAATAGAGCATCTATTATGATCAAAACATCTCAAGATTTCTTTGGTTATCATAAACCAAAAAGTCAGCATTTCATTTTGATTCCAACACCACAACACGCCTGTATACACTTTCAATTTAACCCTGAAGACTGTGATTAGTAATAGTTAAGACAATAGGAGTAGATTTAGGTCTTTCAGAAAATCTCAAATGTTTTCACCATTTTCCTCAAACAATTTGGAGTTCATTGGCTGGATTTCACTAATTGGATTTCCACCTCTCTGAAATTATCAGTGAGTTTTTACACATCCGAAATGATTCAAAGATAAATGTTTCTTCTGTGCATCATAAAATAAGATATTTTGAGAAATGTCTCAGTGTTTTTTTTTCAGTCAATGGCATCCGAAACTGTTTATTAGGCGAGTAGTTGTATATCAGGCAGATTGGATTGCATTTCATTTTGAGCATTCATGACTAGATAGAGGGATAATATTTCATATTACTATAATATACTTTTAATATAGTTTATTAATAACTAGTAAGAGGATATTTCATAGCTAAATAATCTCAGCAATTATATAATATACTTGGGTAAAGAAAGGTATATAGACACTACTGGATTTTTTATTGTTTCTGTTCGTTTTATATCCTCATCTAACACAAACCAAAAGGGATACATTATTGAAAATACTTAATAATTTAACAGCAATCTTGAAGGGCTCTTTCACTTTTAAAGGCATTGGTTATTATTCTAACCAGAGTTTTTCCAAGGAAAAGCATCTATTATTAAGAGGAAATAATATTAGGGTGAAATTGGGTAAACTGGAACACTTTTTGCCATTATGGCCCATTCATTCTAAATTAACCCCTATAATCTTAAATACTGGGACATGGCAGCAAAAACAACCCTCAGTAGCCAACAGAGAGAACAGACAGTTACTTCATGAACCAGTCAAGCATAATCTACAGGACTAGCATGCAAATCTACAGAGCACAATGAATTGATCTTAATAGGGACAAATATAGGACAATCATCATGCTTGTTGTATGAAAACTGAATTTAAGATGAATGTTAAAAAGATTCTCAAAAAACACAAGTTGTTTGTAGAATTTTCAAAAGAAAAAGAAAAAAGAGTGAACAAGTAAAATAACAGAGCCATTCTTCAGCTTTGCACAGCGGTCTCGCACACGCATTTTTAATGCTATTGATCAGTAGGTTCCGCCCCGCTGTAAATAATCCATCCGCTACAGCACTGGCACTAAAATCGTTAACGGAGCTCAAAGATGACACTGTGTTTTGACCGCTGTGGTTGCCGTTTATTCTTCCCAACGGACATCGTTGAGACGAGGGCATCGCTGGATGCGGTGCCCATGTGTTTCAGTGCTCTCCTTTGTAATTTAAATAAGGTGTATAGTCTTTGGATAAATCGCCCTGACCACTCCCCTTTTTCCTCCAGCGCCTGTGACTGAATCCTGCCCGAGGCTCCTGCACTGAACAGCGCTCAACAATCCTGCAGCCTTTGATCTCTCCAGTTTCATTACATGCCAACCAGTCCGATAAATATATGCCATAAGATTACACAAAAGTGTGTGTATTGTACACAGAAAGTCCCAAAGCCCTGTTTAAACGAGTAATTGTTTGATTTAAATGTCGGAATAAGCCAGAAATATCAAAATCATAACACGCTGGTGCCAGTAATTTTCCGGTCACCCAAGTCACCGTTTTAAAAAGGGTGCTATTTACACAGTGCCTTTTAGGGGGGTTAATTTCGGGGGGTGGTGGGGGGGATTTCAACCCATTTCCCCTAGTGTTTGAAGGCATCACAAGTTACTATATATATATATATATATATATATATAACCTATTCATTTGTTGCCGTTTTGGCACACCTGGGGAATGTGGACCAAAAATGCAGAATATATATTTTATGGTTTGTTACATTTCCCCTTGTGTTTGAAGGCATCACAATATTCTATATATATATATATATATATATATATAACCTATTCATTTGTTGCCGTTTTGGCACACCTGGGGAATGTGGACCAAAAATGCAGAATATATATTTTATGGTTTGTTACGTTGTAGTAGCCTACACAGAAAAAAAGTGAAAAGACACTTAGGCTAATAGACAGTATGAAGCATTAAAAGCCCACTGCTTTCTCTTCCACCTGACCTGTCCAACTCTGTTGTTTTGTGTGAAAGACACTTCACGTCGTTTAAAAACAACAAACAGAAAAACCTACTTTTGCCCAAGCTTGTTATCGTTATAACCTTTACATATGTATGTATTTACTAACCCTAGATTACAATAGTAAGGTATTCCAGTTCAGCGTAACAATCCGTGCAAGTGTGTCACTATTTTTTCAGTGTCATTCATTTCAAGATGAATATTCTGCTTTAATAAATGTTCGTTTTAAATGTAAACAATTTGACATTTAGATGTTTAGTTTCATGTATTCAACTCAAGGACATTCGCGCTAAATGTTAATATTCACTTGCAACGTGTAAGTAATAGGCTACCTAGAATTTAAACTGCTAACATGGACTTTTTAAGAACAATCCCCATCGTGCGGCTTCAAATGTAAATAAGGCAGTCACACAAACCGCTTTCATTTCTTTTACCAAATGTTTGCTGTAAGTCATGATGAACCTGTACATTACCAAAATAGATCCCCCCTACAATATATCCGCCCATTTGAGCAAACACTGCCTTAATTACTTTCTATGCCTCATCCATTTTTTTCAGTTTTCTTTAAATATCGTTTTATTATTTGTCGATATTAGCCTACATCTAAATTAACTTAAATATTGAACGCATAATATTGTTTACAAAAGTGAGGTTTGGATGTGACAAAAAGTTGAACCCACAAATAAATATAGTACTTCAGCATAATTTGACTGCCTGTTTGAGTAACGTTAAAGGATATACAAAAGGAAAGCGTGAAAAGTAAAAGCTCTGATCGCTGCAACAAGCAAGGTGCACGATTTCTCTTTCCAGCCCCTCTACTCACATATCCTGACAGATACAAAGAAATACAAACATACAGGCTACCAGACACACACAGCTTAAAAGACACTGCATGGGAAAACACTGGGGTTAGATTTAACTTGTATTACCTTGCACGGATAATCCACAGTAACCCAGAGAAAGTAGACAGAAGAACCAGATATTCTCCACCGCCATGTAGAGCGTTTGATTTCCAGCAGCGGGGTAAAGCAGTGTGTGCTTTATATGACCGCTACAGCTACATGCATATAATGGAATTCGGGAAAAATCTCTTCAGGTTTAATTAGTTGAGCGTAATTTCACGTATTTCCCTGTCGCGCGCCCCACCAATAAACATAACGTGGTTGTGTTAGTCGGGGAAGAGTCGTCGTGTCTCTCGGCGCCTCATCGCCATGTTGTGTCCAAATGTTAAGGTGTGTGAGAGTGTGTGTTAGCTCTCTTTACACGCACGCACACACACGCACATACACACCAGCGAGTCCCGCTTTAGATGTCCGCTGGAGCTGCATGAAACGCTGCCAGTATCCTCACACACCCCCTTTCCGTGTACACGGCTCCATGCTAGTTTCCTGTAACCTGCGAACGCGCTGCGCCAAATACACGACACAACAATGTTAAATAAACACACACGGACTAATTTGGAGCTTCGTATTTCGCCAGTAGCAATGAAAAGACCCCATTGTTTAATCTGATATGCTGATATATTGATAGCACGCGCTATCAGATGTGTTCTAGCCTATTTACAACATCATTCATTGCAACTTAAGTAGTAGCCTATTAATTGTATAGGTCTAGAAGGCACACACAATTAAACGTGTACGCATAATAATATCACCAACACTCAATAACATTCACTTGTTCATTGATATGCAATTCATAGACTAGTGTCACACACACTAGTACACACACAGTTGGGGTTGCAGGACCCTCTGCCACAACCTTCAAACGGGCTGAGAGAGAATTTTTCTCTCCTGGTGTCTGAAGGGGCGAGAGATCACATGTGCATCTGTGTCATGCACTCCTACAGGCTGAGGATCCCACTGGCCTGGCCACTGACACAGCCATGTGCATGGGACCCTTTACTGTCTCTGAACACAAAGAGCTAACTAGGGTCAGTTCAAACACAGGCTCACAGGGGACAGAAAAAGCAAGGTAAACAACTCATATATCTGACAGTGTGTATCCACACACTCTTTGCAAGTTAAATGGGTTGTGAATGCTGCAGAACATTTCAGTATTTTAAGTATATTTATTCTTCTTTGGACTTTGTCCTTTGATTTTAATGTAGTCTGTCTGTCTGTCTGTCTGTCTATCTATCTATCTATCTAATTTATTTTCATTCACTTTGTGTAAAAAGGTTCTTTAGTTTATTAAAGTGTTATTAACACTAAAAGCGGTTAAGAACGAGATGTGTCACATGCATCGTGATACTGTTGTGAACGTGCATCAAAGACTGACACCGAAAAGAGGAACTGTTGAATAAATTCTTTGTTTTTCTTTGCGCACAAAAAGTCTTCTCCTAGAGCCACTGATATCATATGGACTATTTTATCGATGTCCTTGTACCTTTCTGGGCCTTGAATGTGTCAGTTATGTTGTTGTCTATGCAGGGTCAGAGAGCTCTCGGATTTCATCAAAAATATCTTAATTTGTGTTCCGAAGAAGAATGATGGTCTTACAGGTTTGGACTGACATGAGGGTGAGTAATTAATTTCTATTTTTGTAGTTTTCATTTTTGGGTGAACTATCCTTTTAAAGGTTGGAAACATAGATACCAAGTAAGAACCTTTATGTTTAAGAGTGTTGGGAACTTAAAATGTTTTTTCTCTGGCATCGCTGCAAAACCCACTTTTGGAACCTTCATTTTTATGAGTACAAGAACCTTTCAGTGAACATGCAGTTCTTAATCATTTTTTCTAAGCTTGAAGAACACTTTAATAAACTCTCTAATAATCTTACCTCTTTCTTCTAAAGAAAGAGAAGATTTATACTCTTCACAAAACTACAAAACAAACTCTAAAAGAGACCAGGTGTAAACAATTTTATCATATATACCAGAATCAGATGGCAACATTTTGAGGTCCAGCCTTGTGTATTTACAGAGCAGATTAGAGAAAAGCCACGGGAGATGTGTTATGTAAGCATTTAGTCATTACCCATGGTAATATGTTTTATGATACAGACTTTAATATTTCATAGTGTATGTATGTGGATTCTGCCTTGGGCCAATCATGTTCAGAATGGCCAGAGATATTTTATCTCTCCCAACTGCAAACCGATGGGCTTCCTGGGGGTAACCGTATCCAAATCTCAGAGGGACTGGAACAGATCAAACAACAGGGATGTCCCTCCTGCAGCTGCTGTCTCTCCAAACAACACTGCTCCTGTAAGCAGAGCGCACTCACTCAGTAAATATCTCCTGCCTCTCTGTGCTCTTGTGACTCTAGATTGCTCTGCTTCCACCACATCAAAGGCAGTTTGTCATGGCATAATGGAGTGATTGTGTGTGTGTGTGTGTGTCTGTGTGCTTGTGCATGTTGTTTTTAAGGTGGGCTGCTTTTGCTTCAAAACAAAAATAAATAAAAAGAAAGATTATATGCACTTGTTACAGACACAAAGAAACACCCCAAAACACAAGTATGCTGTTTTGAGATCTCAAACATCTGCTCAAATGTGTTTGAATTTGGGGTGATAAACCTCATTTAGGGTTATAAACTGCCTGACATGACTGAAAGCTCCCTCAGAGTAAAGCCTCAGTTCCTCTACCGCTAATTGGATAAAAGTATGTACAGTAGTTATTTAACTAATGAAGAATTATAATATATTTTAGGTCTCACTCTTAGAGATGCGATGTGAAAGAAATTGATCAGATGCCTCAAAAGAAGTCAGAGAAAGTGCCCTAAGGCTGATTTCAATCTGAGTCATCCTATTCATTGCAGGACAGAGTGAATGAACGAGATGAATTTTTCATCCTTGAAACCATACATGCCAGTGATTTTAAAGCAAAAAACCGTGTTTAGCTAAAGATCTGAATTAGAAAATCAATACAGTATTTTACAGAATTATAGGATGGCATATGAAATGAAAAAGCTGTAGAAAAGTGTGACCTTTTTGCCGTGCATAGGCACAAGTCAACTGGGAGAAGACTTTTCCATTTGGAAACATTCACTGTTGACATGAATGGTCCTGGGTGCACCAATTGAGGACATGGATTGCGCTTTTAGGTAAAAGTAAAAAAGAGCTTTGATTTTTCAGTCAGATTTACATTTTATTCAAAGGAAGGAGACAAACAACTCACTTCCAGTTTTTCTGACACACTGTGTACTTAGAGTGACCCAGCAGAGCCAATCCCCAAATATGATGGTGCTGTAAATAACTGCCCTGCCCAATTACTACTCTGCTCTTCTGACATTGTAAGGGCACCAAATGTATGCCTGGCACAGTCCGCATGTCACCATGGTTACTGAGACTCAGGAGTGGCACATAGGCATAGGACAAAAAGCTCAGTGGTACAATTGGTGGTCCAGTGCCACTTGGATACGCTGGCATGCGGCCCAGAGAGGGAGTAGAGAGGTATGTGGCCTACTACTGTATAAGAATGGGGAGGCACCCAGTAGCCTGAAATCTATGGACATCTCTCCACAATACATTGAAGGTCTGGTTTTGCTTGGTTTATTTTCCTGGACTCTTAAAAAAAGTTTTAGTATGAACTATTATTGTGGCTAAAAATATGATTGAATGATTTTTCTTGTTGGCTTGAATGATATCCTGCTCTCTCCCTCCTTTTTTCCCCATGGGAACAAACAATTTCTTGTTATCATTTCTACTAACATTTCCTCATTCAGAAGTTGAAACGTTTTTGAAGTTTATGGGAAACACTTTTCAAGAAACAATGAATATATTACTGAGACTCAGGAGTGGCACATAGGCATAGGACAAAAAGCTCAGTGGTACAATTGGTGGTCCAGTGCCACTTGGATACGCTGGCATGCGGCCCAGAGAGGGAGTAGAGAGGTATGTGGCCTACTACTGTATAAGAATGGGGAGGCACCCAGTAGCCTGAAATCTATGGACATCTCTCCACAATACATTGAAGGTCTGGTTTTGCTTGGTTTATTTTCCTGGACTCTTAAAAAAAGTTTTAGTATGAACTATTATTGTGGCTAAAAATATGATTGAATGATTTTTCTTGTTGGCTTGAATGATATCCTGCTCTCTCCCTCCTTTTTTCCCCATGGGAACAAACTATTTCTTGTTATCATTTCTACTAACATTTCCTCATTCAGAAGTTGAAACGTTTTTGAAGTTTATGGGAAACACTTTTCAAGAAACAATGAATATTTCATGTTATATAACAGTTAGTGTCAGTCCTCAAATCTGATTGGCTGAGCAACCTTCCAAGATGCTAGGACTTTTCACTGTTTGTGTCACTCCGCTCGTCTGCGTTTGTATTAACTCATTATCATTAGGTTTGTTACACTAATAGATGGTGGAGCAACTAGGGGCTCTCAGCCAACTTCCAAAGGGCATCATGATGACTTAAATGTAAAAGAAAAAGTAATTTAAGATTTCTTTTATTAATATATTAAAATAATGTAACTAAATTAAAATGCTTAAAATCAAGATCTAAACTAAAATCATATTTCTTCCCCCATATTTTTTCTGGAATCATAAAGTTACATCAGATTAGTTTATTCAATGTATGGACACTTCCAGTTTTTGGAGCCTTCCAGTCGAAAATAGTTGAGAATCACTGACCTATCTGATTTCTAATGACTCTAATGATTCATTCAGGAACGAAATACTACTAAATGTTGCTTGAAAATGCAATGGTTAATTCTGCTGTGGCTTCCTTTGGAACTATTGTTGTTGACTGAGCAAAAATTAACAAAGGAACTCAAATATTGTCTAAATTGTAACGGTGCAGTCACATTTAACATTGTTAAATGTTGGCAAATCACAGGTGAATGCAGCAATTTCATTAGGAATCATTTGGGAATTTTACTTGAGGACAAAAGATTTCCCCCCTCAGGGTATATTTACACTAATAATGATGGTACTAAAAACATGCACCTTTGTGTCTTTGAAAGGTTTTGTGTACAGAAGACATCATTGTTGAAACAATCCCCATTCACACGGATCGACAAAAGTGCTGTATTATGCATGGCAGTCCAGTACTTGGAGATGTCACTTTGTAAAGAAACACCATCATTTTTAAAACCTTGCACTTTAAAAGCCGCTTTTAATAAGTTTTAAGACCTCAAAATGCTGTTGTCGTGTAACTGAACAGCCAAAACACATCAAAAAGTTTTCGGTTTTTGATTTAAAAATGGTGTCACATAAACACCCCCCTATTTTTTGCAATGGGCTCAAGTTCGCAATAGGACCAAGAGAAAGACACAATACTATTGACGATAAACAATTGACTATGGCCCACGAAATTTTGTTAATGTGAGCAATCACTCGCTCAGTCGTGTCAGGTCTGAAAATCACCAGCATAAAATAACTTTTTGCTCGCCTGATACTGCTTTGCTAGTTCCTTTGTCTCATTCATTCTCAGTCCCTTCATTTATTTATGAACTCTTGTGAGTTAACCTATTAGACTGAGAGATCCTCTTCTCGTTCATTACACATTCTGATCACACTGGCATTAAGATACAGAAGACCAACTCTTAACATTGCATTTAAGAAGAAACGTGAGAATAAGTGTAGACTGTAAGGAGACAATAGCAGAGTGGGAGTGGCTGATAGCAGAGGGACAGCAGCAGTTCTGTCTCCTCCTCATGGCAAACCACTCATTAGACACACTGTGTCCAGCCCTTCCCATTAACAATATACACAGCTCAGTGGAGATCCACCCTCAAAGGGATTCTACCTCCTCGATGACCTTGTCCATCAATATACCCACTACAGTAGCATAAATCTACATAGACTAAAACGCCGACTAAACTGTCGCTGTATAGTGAGGAAGAGGAGGGCAGTGGTCAAAAAGAGGTAGCTCTTAACATACTGATCATAAAAGTGGATTTTAAATGCTCGTAAATGGCTGCATGCTAGAGACTGAAGGGATCCGTCCAATGCGGCTGACCACAGTGCCATCACGAACGTCCCATAAATGGAAGCGTTGTTAGCCAGTGGGAGGGAAACCCTTTTCCCAGAGTACACTTATCTACATTTGGACTCTCTGCTGAATGGCATTAACATACTGCTCCTAACAAGAACTGTGAAGAGCATAGTCAGACTTCACCTGATGAATATTCATCAACTGGTATATGGAG